GAGACTCTGCATTCCTAGGAAGCTTCCATGAGTCACAGATGCTGCTGGTCCAAGACTATGTACCCAGAGCAACGTAGCCTGAGCGTATGAGTATCTTCAGACAGAGAGTACAATTTTGAGCCTGTCTCAGTTTGCTGACAGCAATCAACAGGTGTGGAATCCAAGCAGAGGCTGGCATTGATGAGATACCTGTAAAGCACAGGAGCTACAGGTAGCTAATTATCAGGTTGGCTGCCTGGCCAGCAACTCCTCAGAGTTCCTTCCAGCCATTGAGATGGCACCTTTCACGCTCACAATTTCCATCCCCTCTGAGGGTCGAGGAGGAGCAGTGCTCAGGTACCACCTCGGCCCCTGCTGGCAGGATGAAACTCCAGCCGGAGACCCGACACTTTCAGGAACAGGCAGCAGCTGAGTCTTGCTGGTGGAAGACCAGGCAGAAGAGCGAAAGGAGGGGAGAAGCAGCCCAATGCAAGGCTAGTGGCATACAACCCTTCCCTGTAGCTCTTCATGGAAAAGAAAGTCCTTCTGTGGCCCAAATCGCCTGTGCAGCAGCTGTAGCAGGAGCAAGAGGCTCAGGAGTGCCGTGCAGAGCTGGTGCCAGCATCCTTGTGCTCCGGAAGGTAAGACCCAGAGGTCACCATTTTGTTCTCTCAGACCACAGTGGCTCCTCCTTCTCAGTTTCATTTCTGGGGGAATCCACCCTCTGTGATTCCAACGTGGTTCCCTGGCTCCCCACTGCTGGGAAATGACTGAGCATAGCTGGCAATTTTTATTATCTTTTTTTTTTAATGGTGATAAATGGTTAATTTGTTCTCTGGCAGTGTCTCCTCTATTATGTTGCTGAAAACCAGACACCCAGGAATGAAAATGGCACTCCGAGAGATAGGAGAACTGTTTTTATGGCGAGCACAGAGGAGTTAATACTCTGAATCTCCAGCCCCAGCTGAGAGTTGGACATAGTCTTTTATGGGTGAATTGGGGAGGGGCAGTTTCAGCACCCTCGGAGTGTCCTATCAGGGAAGGAGCTCAGTGTCTACCCTAATACAGAGCTGGCAGAGAACCAGGGAATCCAACCCACTCAAGGCCTCCAGTCGCCCAACAGTTCAGGGAAGGGGCAACTAACTTGTGGGAGAACAATAAGCCCACACAGCTCTCAGCCCTGGGTTGCTTCAAGGTTGCTCATAAGTTCTTCCATATCAGAACAGAAGGTTCAGACAGTTATCAGCCTTGAGTTGCTCCGCATCACCTTTCCAGTGAGAAAAGCTATGGACGTTAAACTGTGAGAGCCAAGCAAGGTGCCTGCAGAGCCAGCAGCTGGTGTGGTGGTTAAAGCGCTGGATCCCACATGGCTGACTCTGCAGTTCCATTCCTAGCCCTGGGAGCTTAAAAAAATCACACAGGGCATGTGTGTATGAGCCCAAAATCCCGAGAGGAGGGTGCAGGAGAAAAGAGGATAATGGATTGCTACATGGCCAGTGAATTCTTGCTTTCCCCCCCTCTCTCTCTCCCTGGCCAAGACAGGTGCCAAATAACACACACACACACTCATACACACGTTTTCCCCAGAGGAAATAAGATGGCTTTGAAATGTTTCCCAAAGTGACTTGCATTGGTTTGCGATGCTCTCAAAGAAGTATCCTAAGGCCCTTGTGTGAGGCAGCCTTGCCAGCAAGAAACCATTTTAGAAGGCCACTAGGTAAATTTCTCCAGTTGGAGTGAGCAGCAGTTTTCTCTTTCTTCCTGGCTCTTTTGTTACAAATCTAAATAGTGGAGTGACTATGGGGGACAGGAAAGCTAGGGCCATGACTGTTTTTCTCCCCATCATTGTATCCCAGTGTCCTGGTCAGCACTAAGTCACTAGGTGTTGTATGCAATAATGGCTAAGTCACAGAGCCGGTGAATGGGGTGGCTGCACCAGCTCATCAGCTTCTGGTCAGCTTCTCTGCCAGTCATAGATCCTGACTGAATCCACACTGAATTCCTAATACCGTTCCCCTCTGGGTACTTCTTCCCGAAGCTCAGAACTTGGACACTGGCCATCTCAGCTTTATTTCCTGTCTCCTTTGTCTGAGCTTTACTTTCTCTCTGGCCATTAATTCAAAGCTTCCAAACTTGAAAAAGTATTGGTTCCACACAGAGCATCCCAGCCTAGCTCTTGAGAGCCACAGTGCTTCTGAGAAATGGTGGGGCTCACCTAGCACCACCTGGAGCTGGAGTCGACCAGCCTGCCCTGGACCTCACTTGAGCTTTAGGGAGGCCCATCCACCACCAGGACAGACATTCACCCAGTCTTCAGTTTCAGGCATGCCTACCCCACTAGCAATCTTCCTAACGATTGAGGAAAGCGTTCCAAGTCACTTTAATCAGAGACAGGTCCAGATGTTTCCTCTCAGCCAGTTGATTGTGTCCGATTCATTCTGGAGGACTAGCAGAATGCCAGGAGTTTTTGGTCCTTGTCCAGAGCAGGCACAGTTTCCTCTTTCATGGTGGAGAAGGATGCTGGAGCAGAGGTTGTGTCAGCAGGTAGAAGAGGGGGTACACAACCACTCCCTACCCCTGAAGCTATGTTTGTGATTTTGATGGTTGCTGGAGGGTCTCTCTGAGCATGAAGTACAGGAATAGAAAGCTGTGAATCAGGACCTGGATCCACAGGGATGTGCTCTGCACATTTCCCCCATTCTGCCTCTCCCAGCCCCTCCTTCCTCCTAAGCTTCCTAGTGGGAATTCCTCTTTACTCTGGGAACATGCAGGGAGCTGAGCTGCAGGCATGACCCTCACATTCTGTCTGCAGATGCTTTGTTTATTGTGGCAGGAGTATGATGAGCAGGGACGCCTTCCTGGCTGCTTCCCTGTGGCCCAAACACCTGCCTGAGATTAAAGTCCACAGCCCTGAGGCCAGAGAGCTGGCATGGTAGCCAAGCAGTTGACCTGCCCATTGGCTAATTCCCATCTGAGTGTGGTTTGCTTGCTCCTGGGAGCTGCTCAGTTTGAAAGGAAGGAGACGGGGTGAGGGAAAGACTTTTTTCATTTCTTGTTTTAACTCCTGCAGTCTGGCTAAATCTTCTTAAGGACCTAGTTCAGAGGTTATCAGCCATAGATACACACTGAAATTTTCCATGTGGGTTTTCATGGGCTCTGATTTCATTCTGATGACCTGGTCATCAGAAGATTTTGAAGTTCCCTTAGATGGTGCTAATGCCCAGCAAAAGTGGAAGCAGTGGCCAACTGAAGTACTTACACATTTGATAGGAATTTGCTTCTGATGGGAATGGCAAACCCTGACTTCTGGAGAACCTAACCTCTCTCACCTGCTTTACGCAAGGCAGGGATGACTTGGAGATAAAAGATTTGGTTAAGATCCTTCTGGGGGCCAGCAGGTGGCATGGCACTAGACTTCCCACATGGTCAACTGTGGTTCAAGTCCTGGACCTGGTGGCTTGAAAATCATGCAAAAACCTAAAACAAAATTTTTTTTTTAAAAAAAGATACTTCTGGGACCCAGCAGTTAGCATAATGGCTATGTCGCTGGACTCCCACGTAGTCGACCGTGGTTCAAGTCCCGGACCCGGTGGCTTAAAACTCACGCTGGGCACGTGTGTGTGCATGCCCAAGATCCCGAGAGGAGAATGGAGGAGAAGGGATTGCGGCGTGACCATCCCCCCTGGGGGGTGATTTCTCGCTTTCTGTCTCTATGTCTCTCTCTGTCTGTCTGGTGAGCGCACGCGCCCTATAGTGAAAATCTCTCCAAAAAGAAAAAAAAGATACTTCTGTCCATGGCTTTTATAGAAACTTCCCTTGTTTTTATTCTTTTCCTTTTTTTTTTTTTTCTCCATATTATTTAAGGGCAAATTCACTGACTGACTCTTTCTTTAGGAACAGAGAATTTTACAGCATCATTGAGACAAATTATACATACCAGATAAGCTTGCCAGATAAAATACAGGACACCCAGTCAAATTTGAATTTCAGATAATCAATGAAATTTTCTTTAGTATAAGTATATTCCATTCAATATTGGGGATATACTTATACTAAGAAACTATTCAAATTCAACTAGGCATCCTGTATTTTTATTTGATAAATCTGGTGACCACAATAGATACGCTCAGAATAACATTCTTTTTATTACACATGAGAGAAACTAAAACTAGTTGAGGGAAAAAAAGAAATTTATTGGTTTATATAACAGAAAAGCCCATGTATTTATGTTATATTTAGATATATCTAGGAATCTCCATCTCTTAATACTTTTTCTTTATCTAGCTCATTTTAAATTAAAGAAGGCTCCTGGTAGCTCAGGGCTCTGTAACCCTAACAACTTACGGACCCAGTAGAAACAAGAAATTTTCTCCCAAGAACTCTTCAAACAGAGAAGACTGACTTTCTGGCTTAAGTTGTATGTCTATTCCCGAACCACTATAGCCAAGGAAATTGAATAATCTGGTCTTCGATGCATCATATGTCCATATTGCTACCCCCCCTCACGCAAGTCACATGGGCCCGTCAGCATTCTAACAGACCAAAGTGTGAATGGTTTTCTAGCAAGAGGATTTCGAGCAAATGTGTATCTACTACATCCTGCACACAAGGAAATGCATTTCTTGCTCGTAATACACTTGTACTGCCTAAGGAAGGGCAGGCAGGACTGCATGTGAGGCCAGAAAGAGTGGGTGACTCTCCGACAGTCCCTAAAGGGATCTGCAGTTGCTCAGCAGTTGTAGCAGGAAAGTACCTAACATTTTACCTAGCCCACTGCCGTCCAGCAGGCCTCTGCACGTCGAGAAATGAAGGTTCCGAGTGTGTCATGTGGGGACTATGCTTGGAGGAGGCATCCTTCTTCCAGCCCTTTGGGAAAACTCTTGATCTGCTATGAGCTGAAGACACTTTCGATGCCTGAATGATTCACTCAAAACACATTTGACCCCACTGTACCCTGGTAATCTTACTGAGATAATATTTGAAAATTCTTTGGCCCTATGGGTGAGTGGCCAGTTGTGCTTCTAAGGGTCAAAGAGTAGGAGATCTATAGGAATTGCTCCATCCTGCTTTGTGTTGTGAACTTCCTGTTCATGTGTCTCATGTTTGAGTCTATATTGTTCCACTAGAGCACAAAGTTCTTGAAGGTAGGGATTCTGACTTCTGTTTTTCTGCCGTATCCAACATAGGACTTTATTAAATGTCTTAAGTTACTTAAAGGACAAGAAAGGCAGCTCCACTATCCTCTGGTTTCCAGATAATGTAAATTAGCATTCCTACTTAACATACCTCTCATCCAGGAGTGTATGTCAGACTCAACTTTTTTATACCCAAATTGCGTACCTCTTACTTCAAGAAATGGTGATCGAGAAGATTAGATGTAGGATTGGGTTGGGATATGTATTTTGTTTTTTGAAGGGCTCCACAAACAATTCTGATAAATTGATTAGTACTTTGCACAAACCTTCTTCAATTGAAAATAGTTCTGAAATAATTCTCTCTGATTGCTTGGAATATCAGAACTAACTCTGCAAGCAATGATGCCTGTGGTTTGATTTCAACACATCCTAACACTATGGTGTATTACAATTGTGTTAGAAATAACTTAGTAGGGCCAGCTGGTAGTGTGGCAGTTGAGGCAGTTGTATCCCACATGGCCAGCTGTATGGTTGAGTCCTGGACCTGGAGGATTGAGAAACTTGCTGATGGATGTATGTGCATGCCCAAGATCCCGAAAGGAAGGAGAGATGGAGGAGAAGGGCTTGCAGCATGACCAACCCCTATGGAGGGTGCTTTCTCATTTTCTCTTTCTCTCTCCCTCTCCCTCCATCTTCCTTTCTCTCCCTCCCCCTCCCCCTCCCTCAGTCCCTCCCCCTCTCCTTCACCCTCCTTCCTCTCCCGCTCTCCCTTTGACAAAAAAAAAAAGGAAAGGAAATAATTTAGTAAAATATCAGCAAACCTAAAGCTGCATGCTGCTAACTAATTCTAATTTTATATCCACAAGTACTTTCACACACAAAGAGGAGAATTCCAAAACAGGAAGTTCCTTAAAGGTGGAAGTTCCCCTTCTTTGATGGCTTTGCTCTGACAGAGATTGGACATAGAACTCTGCTCTTTATCCTCTAACTCCTGGGAGTGTGCTGTGACAGTTACTGTCATGACATCTTGGGATAATATTGCCATTGGTGACAAAGATGTTAAATATGATGATGGATGAATGCTCTGTTTTCTCTCATGTTATAAGTCATATGAATCAAATCCTTCTCAACAATGTCGAAAAGAATTGGGTGCTGGGAAGCATAAGTCTGAGCAATGGCAGGGAAATAGACTCAGTATGGGATTGCCAGGGTGGTAGAATAGGAAAGAGGAGGGTCAGTGAAAGCTTGAGAAAAGTGACATCCACATCCTAAGACTCTGACTCATTTGTACTCAAGTTTTTCACCTGTCAACTCTGAACTCATTTCAATCTTCTGACTGTCAATGACTAACAAAATCACTTTCCCATCCCTGAGTCTCTCCTCTCCCTTTGGTCTCCTGTCAACTCAAAGTAAACCATTCCTCTTAAGAACCAGTAGAAAAGCATTAACATTCTATAGTTGTGATTGTTTAGGCCCTCTGATGTCCCAATATGTAGGTCTTAAGTGAAAACAATTGAATTAAAATCACTCAAGAATGCCCGAGCCTGATGACGCAGTCAGTAGCAAACTGAACTGTAATGCTGGAAGCCACATAGCTGACCAGAAACTGCACTGGGCATGTCGGCACATGCCCAGGATCCTGACAAGATGGAGTGCTGTGAAAGATCACAATATAATGAGAGCCTGTTGAGGTTACTTCTCTCTTTGTCTCTCAAGTTTTCTCTCTAGTGAGTATATACATACTCTCTGTCATGAATACAAATAAATAAACTTAAAAAAAATCATTCAAAAAGTAAGGGCTCTCTCTCACCCCCACTCTTTATCCTCACCCCTTAATAATTGTATTTTCAAGTCAAGTTTTCACACTATATGATTATATAATAGGTTATATAATATTAACACCTAGTAAAATCCATGATCTTCAAATTCATATTTTAAACAAAGTATTAATGATAACTTACAACTTAAAAATTAAAAAAAACCACCTTTTCACATTGGATTCCTTTCCTATCAGTGGAAACTTCTCCTTTGAAACACCCTAGAAGACATCAGGAAGTGACATGCATCTCACCTCTCAGGAATAGGAATGCATTGTTGAAGAAGCCATTTAAAAGCCCCAGATTTCCCTATAGACATTGTTAACCTTGAAAACTAAAGAAATTTAAAAAAATTATAATATGAGAGTATGTCAAAAAAATTGTGGAAAAATGAAATTAAAATCTGAGTTTATTTTGGTGCCCCAAAATTCTGAAATCCATGTCTAGATTTTTCATAATACAGAATTTTTCATAAACTTCTGCATAAAGATCCTACATGGACTCAGACTTGTTTTAAAATAAGATTTAAAATAACTTGCCATCAGGAAAATGAACAAAGGTAAAGGCATATAATCCTATTTTAGGATTACGTAACTTTTTTAATAGAACCATTTTATTTAATTTCATTATTTTTTCCCCAACTTAACCAGAGAGAGGCACTGAAAGAAAGTGAGAAAGCAAGTAGCCAGGTCCGAGACTCAAACCGTGGTCAGCAATGTGGGAGTCCGGTGCTTTAACCACTATGCTACCTGCCTGCCCTAGTATTATAAAAATTTCGAGCACATACTAGCATAAATATGTACAGATAAAAATAACAAGTGCTTTTTCACTGCTTTACAAGTTATGACAGATAATTAGTAAAGAGGGCTGTTCAGAATACTGCCAAAGAGTTGGCTTCATGTAGCATTTGGAGTCACATTTGGTAGAAATATACTGAGACGGCCAAGTTGAAAAGCTTCTAGTCTATCTCTTTTACCATCTTGCAAAGTAGTCATCAAGAACATGTTCTATAGAGGCAGATGAGTAGATAGGGTTCGTAATTTTACCATGAATGTAAGGATTTTTACTACACATCAAATAATAGAGTGTCAAATACGTCATATTTCTCATGACCAATTCTCTTTTATAACTGTCAAGACTTTTTTGACTGCAGGATTATTATGTTTATTTTTTCTTCTTCATTTTTTTTTTTTTTTTAAGTGCTCGCAGGAGACGACTGGGGGTGGGGGAACAGAGAGAGGGAAAGTAAGAATCACTCCTCGTAGTGGATGGCCATGCCACAATCCCTTCTCCTCTGGCCTCCTCTCAGAATTTGGCGTGCACATGCACGTGCGCCTGGCATGATTTTCAAGCTAGCAGGTTTGCCTTGAAATTGTTGGGGGTATTCAGTCTTGAAAAAATATCCAATTAAGTAAGCCAATAATACGAATCATATTTTTTGAAGTGCATTGTTAAAATTAACCAGTATGTGAGACTAAACCAGACTGACTGCAATTTGTAAAGGCTAATGCCATCTTGGGGCCCTCCACTCTCCCCTACACATGGTGTGATCTTTATAGTCCTGAACAGGAATTGTTCTCTTTAAGATAATGAACTATGGGGCTGGCAGGTGGCATGGTGGTTAAGGGTACTGGACTCTCACATGGCTGACAGTAGTTCAAGTCCCAGACCTGGTGGCTTGCTTTCTCACTTTCTCTCTCTCCCTCTCTCCCTCTCTCTCTCTCTCCCTCTCTCTTTCTCTTTCTTTCTCCCCCCATCAAATTAAAATAAATAAATAAAGTCGAATAAAATAATTCTTTAAAAAAAAAGATAATGAAGTACATCACTCATTTTTAAGAAAAGATGACTCATTTTGAGAACCTGCAGGCAATACTGTCTCCAAACCAGCTGACTAGCTTTCCCTCACTGATGCAGCTGGCTGTTGTTAGGAAAACATGAATGATTTTGAGAAACTGGAGGCAATAATGTCTTGGAACCCAGAAAGAGAGAAATCACCCCCCAGGGGGGATGGCCAGGCCACAATCCCTTCTCCTCCATCCTCCTCTCGGGATCTTGGGCACGCACGCACATGCGACCCAGCAGAATTTAAGCCACCAGGTTTGGGACTTGAACCACAGCTGGCTACATGGGAGTTCAGCAACATAGCCACTATGCTAACTGCTGGTCCCTCTATTGTTTAGCTTTTTGCTTTCCCTTAAATTAAATTCAGCTTGCTTCATGTGGTGCAGAGTGCAGCTGCAATTGCTTCTGGGTCACCTTCCACCAACCCTCCCAATCTGTAAGTTACTCTCTAATAAACTCCTGTTAAGTGTCCCATGAAGTTGCTTGCTTCATTTTTCAGTTTCAATGTTTCTTCTCAGTTTAGGGGCCACTATATATGGTCCCCATCCTTTACCACAGGGATATGTTGTTAAACCTATTCTCTAGAAAAGAAAGAAAAAGCAAAGTTCTGATTTGTTGCATTTGCCAATTTTCATGGTATAAATAGTCCCACCATAGGTGCTTTCAAGCTACTAATATAGCCTCACTGAGTGCAGGGCTGGAGAAAGACAGGCACAGTTGATTCTCACAAGTTATCTGTGCCAATACCAGCAGGATCCAGTATACCATTGACTTTAACCTACATACAAAAGATGCATGCAACCTACATGTGTAGTATAAAAAGAACACTCATATATTCCACCAAAGTCAAGAAAGAGAACATTGCCTGCACCCCAGAAGTCTACCTACCACATGTTTTTTTTCTCTTTTATAATTTCCTTCCCCATTAAACCACTACCCTCATTTTTATGATAATCTCTCCCTTGCTATTTTTTATATTTTTACCACCAAGTATGCATCCCTAAATGTTCTGGCTTAATTTGACCTATTTTGAACTTTCCCTTTACATAAAGGGAATTATGCTGTATGTAGTCTTTTGTGGTTCATTTATTTTGTCAACATTCTTTTTGAGATATATCAATTCTGTTACATATAGATATAGTTCATTCCCTTTTATTGCTTTATAGTAGTACAGCATAAGAACACATTCAGTGGTGCACTGGAGCCAGCCTGTGCAAATTCATGAGAGCTGATTGTTAAGTGTTTACAAATTTTGCAAGCTAGTTGATGCCATGTTGGAAGCTTGAAATTGCTCATGATGGGACTATTTATTTCATGGAAATTGGCAAAGGCCAAAAAACAGGGCTTTTTCTCCCTGTCATTAAACATCTGCTAGCGTGCCACTGAATATATGATGATATACTTATCCATCCTGCAGTAAATGGGCATTTGGTTTGTTTCTGGTTTTTGACTATGAATATTCTCTACCATGTACACTGCTAGACTTGAGCTCACATTTCTGAAGGATGGAATATAGTCCAGGAGTGAAATTGTTAGGTCATACAGTATGTGCATGTTCAATTTTAGTTGGTAATCTCAAATAATTTTTCCAAATGTTTGTACCAATTTACATAGAGCCCTTTGCTTGAGAATTCCTATTCCTCCTGTCATTCCTATTACATCCCTTAGTATTGTCAGGCTTTTAAACTTTTGCCAAATAGTGGTTATATACTTATATATCATTATAGCTCTAAATTGTGCTTACCTAATTCTTTTTTTTTTCTTTAGAGAGACAGATTTTGGTATAGGGCGCGTGTGCTCACCAGAGAGACAGAGACAGAAAGTGAAAAATCACCCCCCAGTGGAGTGGCCCTTCTCTTTCATTCTCCTCTCAGAATTTTGGGCATGCATGCACACGCACCTGACGTGAGTTTCAAGCCGCTGGGTCTGGGACTCGAATGGTGGTCCACCACGTGGAGGTCCAGTGTAACCCTGACTTCATTTGTTGGTCCCTTTCCTAATTCTCAATAGGTTGAACACTTTCCCTTGTGTTGTTTGGCCCATTTGAATTTTTTCGTGTATGTAAAGTACTTGTTCAAGTCTTTTACTAATTCTTTTTACTATCTTTTTCTTATTAATTTTCAGAATTTTAAAAAGTATATTCTGGGTATTCTAATACAAAGGCTCTTCAAAAAGTTTATGGAAAATGCATATTATGAAAAAAAATTCATGGATTAAAAATATTTTTTTTACCAAAATAAAATCATACTTTAAATTTATTTTTCCATGAACTTTTTGAAGACATCGCATGCTGTAAATTTCCCACTGTTTCTCTCTTATCTCTTCCCTGAATTGTGTTGGCATGGTTGCTAGGCCACTAATAAAATACCTTATTTGCTAGGCTACTAATAAAATATCTTATTTATGGTTAATGTGTTTTTTGCAGACTAGATCCATTATGACACTATATCCATAAATTTTGCTTGAGACTCTTTTAACCCTCTTGGGAATCACTTTATGTCTTTTATCCTGAGCTACAATATAAAGATGATATATAAAGATTCTTTCTGGTTCTCTAAGACTCAAAAGACAGAAGAGAGAAAAAATCGTGCTTGGGTTATGCAGGGAGTCCTGTACTTTAGTCTCTCTCCTGGTTCAGACACTGTGAGCTTTTTGAAGACCCTCCATTTGTAAGTTTATGCATACCGAAAACCACTGCAGGACGTAAGACAGAAACCAGAATCCTCCGAGATTATTTGGGTACCTGGGGATAAAAAGCACAACAGCGAATGTGCTGCCTCCTTCACTGGCTGCGTCTGTCACAGCTCCTTCTCTGTTCTCTCTGGAGTAGCTTTCAGGTCCCTAGAGCCATCGTCTCATACCCTGATATTGTTACCAACAGGAAGGGAAAGATCGCATAAGGAGAATGGGAGGCGAGCTTACTGAGGGGCCTGGGACATCTTGGAGTGCCTGTGCCTATCTTGTTGCTATAGGGGTCCCTCATCTTGTTAACAGATAGAAGGGTAGAACGTTGTTATTACAGAGTCTGCTGCAGTTTGAGCATCAGTGTGATTGGACAGTGGGATTCTTATTAGGAAGGGAAAGGGTGGCTGGTCATGGGTTTCAGGGAACTTAGAGGACAACACAAGGCACTTCATCCTTTCAGGTGACCAGCCAGGAAGTGCAGTGTCCACCTGGATGCACTCCAGGAAACCATTTCTTCCTTGCTTCTCTCTCCTTCCTTACACTCCTCGTACTTCTGACTGATCCTGGATCTAACCTATCTTTGTTCCTGTGTCCTAGTCTTGGCCACCCATGCCTGACTCCATCTCAGAATGTCAGGAGCACCCACCCACAAGATCCAGACCTCTTACTTACCAAGGTGGAGTCCTTCATGAAGCATAATGTTGGGTATTATAGTGACACCTTCCCAGTGGACAAGGGTGGGATGGGGCAGAGGAGGGACATGGTGGAGAAAGTAAGGGAGGGTTAGAACATCAGCTGGCCTCACTCCCAACCTGTGTGACAAAGGACAGAGCTCTGGGAGACAGTGTGAGGTGATATGAACCAGAGAGTGGGAGCCATTTATGAGAGTGTCACTGACCTGCCCCAGTACACCCAAAGCGAAGCAAAAGCTGAGGGCCATTAACAGAGTGTAACCTTCCTCTGTGGATTCTTAGGAAAATGGGTGCTAACTTAATAGTTTCACAGAATGTTCTCTTCTGGAAGATTCATGAAAGAAAGGCAGCAGTATTTATAATAGCCACGACAAGGGATTCACCTAAATGCCTATCAACAGACAAATGGATAAAGAAGACAAGATGTGGTTTATATATACGATGGAATACTATTCTGTCATAAGAAGGATGGAATCCTGTCATTTGCAATAACAGATGAGCTGGGAAGATATTATATTAAGTGAAATAAGTCAGGCACACACACAAAAATACTATACGATCTCATATGTGGAATCTTTTTCTTTTTTTAGAGAGATTTTTGCTATAGAGCGCATGGACTCACTGGAGAGACAGAGGACAGAAAGCAAGAAATGCAAGAAATCACTCCGGGGGGATGGCCACACCACAGTCCCTTCTCCTCTAGTCTCTTCTCAGGATTTTGGGCATGCACGTACACATGCACATGGTATGCATTTCAAGCCGCTGGGTCCAGGACTCGAATTGCAGGCAGCCACATGGAAGTCTAGTAATGTAACCATTATGCCATCTGCTGGTCCCCATATGTGAAATCTTGACAAAATTAAGTAAAAAATAAATGGTCTCATAGTAGATGAGAATAGAATAATGATTACTAGAGACTAGAAAGAATAGAGGGGATTATGGCAGATAGAGGGGGAAGAAGAGAGGTTGGTTGAGGAGTACCGTATAACAATTAAGTTGGAGGAATGGGTTCTGGTACTTTAATATACAATAAGGTGACTACACATAACAGTAATGCATTATGTAGTTCAAATTACTGGAAGAGGATTTTGAATGTTCTTACAACAAAAAAGCAATAAATGTTTAAAGTGAGGGATATACTAATTGCTGCGACTTGGTCACAACTGAAATGTATTGAAACATTACATCACAACCTCTAACTATATACAGCTCTTATCTGTTGATTAAAAAAGAGAGGCAGGACCAGCAGTTGTTTCCATTCATTACTTCCATGTCTCATTGCTGGTGTGACTACTAAAAATTTTCTCAGTTTTTGACTTCTATGAGTTTGTTTTTTCTTATTGACCCTTCTCTCAGTCCTGACAGTCACCCAGGGCTCAGCTCTTCTTTAGGTAGTAATCTCTACGAAGAAGAGGTTTGGGCTCTCCTTTGCATAGTAAGGACTGTCAAATCTACTACATGGGTAGCTTTCAACACTACTCGATGTATGACCTGTGACAAGAGACAGATACAGAAATTGAGTGTCTCCAGAGTAAATCTAGAAAGTTTTTTGCCATTTGATATTGCTACAGTATCCAAGTGGGTGATTTTGCACTTTACATTTCTGATATTCTCCGTCAGCCGGCCTCCTCCTGTTTTAGTGGGTTTTGGAGTTGCTAAAGCAGTATGTGTTCCTGTAAGTGAGGAATGGGTATGACCTGACTAGTGGTTACTACCCACGTGGTCTCACTGGGAAGTCACTGCAAAGTTCACCTGTCTACAATTACATCTGCCCCTGAACCTGTTACTATACCTAAAATTCTGACCTACAAGGCTACTCTTTTCTGTTGCAAATACTTTATTTTAGAGAGCTAAATTCAAGAACTCTTGAGTGCCAGGCCTTATACAGAAAGCCAGGAGAATGGGACCCAGAGCATCTGAAAGGAATATGAGTCAACGAATGGGGCTATAGCACACTTTCTGGGATGGGCTGGCATTCTGGGAGTATCAGGTACCAGGCAGAGTAGGGGATTAGGTACCACCTCATCTCTGTGACTTAGCCCATCCATAGCCTTAACTTACTGTGTATGTATGGCACCGAGCAAGACATTCCTCTCTCCCAGAATTTCATCCAAGGACCAAAGTTAAGATAAAAGTCTCTAGTGCACTCACCTTCTTTAGAGCATTGCCAAGGAAAGCCACCAGCACTGAGGCTTTGATACAAGTTACCATTGCACCCTCTTCACTTTGATCTCATCACTATCAAGAGAGACATGAACAGGGAAGAAATGGCAGTTGGGGTCAGCTTTGTGGGGGATACAATGTTTATGGTGGCAGGTTGTCCACAGGTATGAATAGGGGTGGCCTCCCTTTGAAGAGACAAGTGGTAAAGATCAGGGTACAACAAGAAAGGAAGGCTAGCATTTCTATTTTCCAAATAGGCTTTGGTTTAGGCAACTTTCACTTTTGCTAACCTGCCCAGAGAGAAGCACTTACTAGTCACTCATGCAAAAGAGCCTGATCTTAATTCATGGTGCCTCTGGATTTCTCAGAATGAGGGGGCAGTTAGCACAGTGTGTATGTGTGTGTGTGTGTGTGTGTGTGTGTGTGTGTGTGTGTGTGTGTGTGTATTTTTTCTTCCTGAGTTGACCTTTAACTGGAAAATGCTGGGGCAGGAGAAGCATCCATCAACACTTCTTGACATTCATCCCCCCCACCCCAACCATAGATTACCAAATGGTTTTAGTAACTGAGCTGGGAAATTAAGGCTTTCCCAGTTGAGCAATAGGAGGGAAGGAGGGCCTGAAATGAACTGTGTGGCACCAAACAGGGTAACCAGGTGCAAGGTGGACACAGGGCTTATTGCAGGGAAGTTGGCTGGTGCAGCAGGCCAGGTGCATGGCAGGAATGGCTGACAGCCTGGTGGGCTGTGGGAAGGAGAGAGGGTTCACAGCCAGCTTAGAAATGAAAATGTAAAGAAGAACCCTAAACCCCGATATCTACAAAACTTGGCCAATCCTCAGTGCTGCTGGCAGCCTGAGCTGGAAATCTGCTTACCCAGAGGAATGAAGCATCAGATAAGCTTTGTGGTGGAAGAAAGCCATGATTCTAGACTAAATGTTGCAATTAGAGGGAGATGTAAAACTGATCCAGTGGAACTTGAGGCCATGAAACTCTGGGGAATCTCAGACAGAAATATGGGGCTGGGGTGAAGCCTTATTTAATTTATAGAGAACCAATCCCAGGGGGGGGGAAAAACAGTTTGTGGCTAGAGTTTTAGTGAAATCAGGTTGATTCAGAATTTCTAGTCTGTGAACCTAGGGATTTGGTTATTCTTTGTCCTCTGATACCCCCCAATCTTTACTTTTGAATTTTATTTAAATAGACTGCATTTGGTAGAAAGAGACTTATACATTATTCTTATTTTTCTTAGTTTTGCAACTTGAGTTCCATTAGAAGAGGAGGATGAGAAAGGAGTGGGCATTGTGAGTTTTATATATGTGTGTATGTACACACACACAAACACACACATAGTCAATTCACACAATTACAGAAGCTAAGATGTTCCCCATCTGCAAGCTGGAGACCCAGGGAAGTTGGTGGTGTACTTTGAAAGCCTAAGAATTTAAGAACCAATGCAATAGATTCTAGTTCATGTCTGGAGGTCTGAGAACCAGGAGCACTGAGGGCAGAAAGTAAATTCTTTCTCTTTCAGCTACCTCCTTTTTAGTGTTTTTTGTTTGTTTGTTTTTTGGGTTTTTTTTTTTTTGATTTTTGTTTGTTTTTTTGGAGAGGGTTTTGCTATAGGGCGCGTGCACTCGCCAGACAGTCAGAGAGAGACAGAGAGACAGAAAGTGAGAAATCACCCCCCCGGGGGGATGGCCACGCCGCAATCCCTTCTCCTCCATGCTCCTCTCGGGATCTTGAGCACGCACGCACACGCGCCCGGCGTGAGTTTAAGCCACCGGGTCTGGGACTCGAACCATGGTCAACTACATGGGAGTTCAACAACATAGCCATTACGCTAACTGCTGGTCCCTTTGGTGTTGTTTTTGTTTTTGTCATAGGGCATGTGTGTTTGCCAGAGAGAGATAGAGCAAGGGAAGGTGAGAAATCACCCCTCAAGGGTGATGACCACACCTCAATCCCTTTTCCTTCATTCTCCTCCTGGAATTTTGAACATGTATACACACATGCTTGGTATGATTGTCAAATCGCAGGGTCTGGGACTCGAACTGTGGTGAGCTATGTGAGAGTCCAGCCACCTTCACCACCACTCCACCTGCTGGTCTCATTTGCCTTTTTATTCTACTCAGATGGTGTTTACCCACATGAGGGAGAGCCATCAATTTACTCAATCTGGCCATTCAAATAGTAATCTCTTCTGGAAATATCCTCACAGCCACAGTCAGACATAATGCTTAACCAGCTATCTAGGTACCCTGTGAGCCAGTCATAGTGACATAAAATTAACCATCACACTGAATAATATATTGGGAGTTGTGGTGGGCTGGTAAATCAGCTCTCTCTGGGGGAAAATAAGCTTTGATTTGTGGTAGCATTTGCTGGCTTCTGTGGTATAAATACTCCCACTGTGACTAATTTCAAGCTACCAACATGAAGTTGCTGAGCACAGAGTTGGGAATAGATGGATGTTACTCACATAAACCAGTATAATCTGGCTCCATCATGCATTGGGAGCAAATGTCTGAGCCCAAACAGAAAATTTTTAGGCTAGCAATCTGCATCATTCTTTTAGAGTGAGAGGAAAGAACTAATTTTGGGGTTCTGTATTTTTCTGGTAGATTTTTTTTTTATAACTGAGCTATCCACCCTGGTTCTAATATTAACTTCTTTCCTGATTGTCTATGAGAGTTCAATAATTCAATCCTACTTTTCATGTGAAAATTTACATCAATAAAATGGTTCTCAAGATGGAAAATATTGTGTGGGTCTTCTGCCTCAATCCACTTGTTTAAAGATGAGGAAATTAAGGCTCAAAGAGATGAAGAGACTTGTTAGATCTGAGACTTCTCAGATCCAGGGAAGTTTGAGATGTCATGAAAATTAGAATCTAGTTCTCCTGACTCTCACGGTGTATGTTTCTACTACAATTTGTTCTTTCTCAAAGATATAACTGTCAAAAATGGAAGCAGGGGCCGGACACTTCCTCTGGGCAACATGTGAGGGTAGAGCTCAGAAAGGATTGTTCTAGCTGGGTTAGGAACAGACAGAAGTTCATCAATGTAGAGTACATTATTACTCCCCTTCACTTTTGTTATGGTAGGGACAAAAAGAAGCAGCCTGGGAGGAAGAGAAATTAAGTGCTGGACACAAAATCTGGTTGAAGAACTCAAATCTGGAACCCAGAGTGTAAGTTCCATAGATCAAAGGAAAATCATGCCTGAGAGAAAGCTCTGTAAAAGGCAGAATTTCATGTCACTGTGTAACACTTCAGGGGTTTCTGCTTGTTAAGGGGTAGAGATGGTAGCAGAATCAGCTGCAATAGTGTTGTGAAAAAGAGCAAATAAACAGAAAAAAGAGAAAGAAGCTGTACACTTTCTCCTGAGATGCAGAGGTCCTCTTGACTCCAAAGTCACCAGAAGAGAGAGAACATCTGAAAAGAGAAGGCTGGTTTCTGGTAGTTGATTTTTTTTTTTAAGAGGTTTTTGCTATAGGGCGCGTGTGCTTGCCAGAAAGACAGGGAGAGACAGAGAGACAGAACGTGAGAAATCACCCCCCAGGAGGGGTGGCGATGCCACAATCCCTTCTCCTCCATTCGCCTCTCGGCATCTCGGGCGCACATGCACACGTACCCGGCATGAGTTTAAGTCACCGGGTCTGGGACTCGGTCTGTGGTTGGCTACATGGGAGTTCAGCAACATAGCCATTATGCTAACTGCTGGTGCCTCTGGTAGTTGATTTTGAACCAACTTAGTACAAGAGAACTGAAGGATGGGAAATGATAAACGATTATTGTTTAAATTTATAGACATTCAGTTGAAGATTTTCCTTCTCTTCATTTTCATATAATGCTAAGAAAATCTGTATAATTTTTTTTTTTAATAAAGAAAAGAGGTTTATTTTGGCTTGTGGTTCTGGAGACTGGGAGGTCCAAGATTGGACAGCCACATCTGGCAAAGGCCTCCTGCTGTGTCATAACATTGCAGAATGCACCACATGGGAAGAATGCGTGTGAGTGCAGTAAATGGGTGCATGCAAAAGAACTGTAATGGATTTTGAATGGCAAAGATTATTGAAGATGGAAATCAAATTATCTTAATTAGGATAACCTCTCTATTTCCAATCCACTTTTTCTGATATTTGAAGCAACAGCATTCTTGGTCCTCAGTGAATTTCTTCTCCTGAGAGGCAACTATTTCTCATCCTTAATCATTCAGCTCAGTGCAGTCCTGTACCAGTTCCCAGGGCTGGAAATTCTACTGGTCATCAGAAAAGTGATAATGTGTTTCTATGCAAGAATGTGTCATGACTTTTCTGATAAGCCAGTATTTGTGGATCTTTCTGGGAACTGTGTGCTGATGATTGTGGGGGCCTCTACAGGGCTTATACTAAACTTGTACAGTTGGTCATAATGGAACAATGCTTGGTTTTTTTCATATTGGAGTGGCTTTCATTATTATACACTCTCAAGCAGAAAATGGAGCTTCAGTAAAACCAAGTTCTAGCTATCAGTATATGTTCAACTCACGCATCAGCCTCCTTCCCCTTCAGGGCTCCCATCCTTTCAGTGCATATAGTAAAGGGGTAAGCATTAGCTTCAGTCTCTTGCAAGGGAACCCTTAGCTGTGCTCCTAGAGTCTGAGGGCTCTCCCATACATCCAGGATCTCACTTCCTGCAAGCCATGCTCCTTTATGTACTTACACCCTGAGTATAAGAAGGAGGATGTCAATGTATTACTAATTCAAAAATCAATTAAAAGTAAAGTCACATTTTTGTTTAGTAAAGTTTGAATTTGGTTTTCTGTCACTTGCAACCAAAGAATTCTGAGATAGCCTCACTGCTGTATGTCTTAACTTGTTTCTATTAATCCTTCAGTTATCTGTTTCTCACATATGAAATAGTTAGTGTTATTTATTTCTCTCACCCCCTTACTGAGCTCTGTATGGATTTCTCCTTTTCTCCACATGGTCCCTGGTACCTTTTACTAAAGGGTTTGGGTAATTAAATGGAATTTTATTGTAGGGGTGGGAGGGACCTTATGTTCTAAATATGACTATTCCCAGAGTCCAAAAGAAATGAGTGAAGAAATGAAACCTTCCCATTAGATCCTGTCAGGGCATATTCTAGTTCCTGTTTCTTGAAGTGCTTTGTCTCTACCATCTTCTAACATGTGTGACTCTACCT